TTCTGGGTCCCCTGTTAACGTGCTCTCTCTGCAGAAAGAGTTCATGAAGCAGGTGCAGACCAGCGGGGTACTGGTGGTCTTCTCCCAGGCCTGGATCGAGGAGCTGTACCACCAGGTGCTGGACAGAAACATGCTGGGCGAGGCCGGCTACTGGGGCAGCCCGGAGGACAACAGCCTGCCACTCCTCACCATGCTGACGGGTCAGTGCCCACTCCAGGCCGTGCGGCACTCGGGGGCGGGGGGTGCGGGGAAGGCTCAGCCTTCAAGGCCTCTTTTAGATACACAGTGGTGTTTCAAGCAAACTTTGAAACAGCACCCACGAAGCCTCTCTGGGTGTTGGCCACAGCTCCAGAGCACACCTCACCAGTTTTCTGTCCTTTTTCCGTGGGGAGTGAGTGAGGCTCACTTCATCTTACCAGACAAGCACTACTTAGCACCTCATCTGCTGGTGTCAGGCCACAGGCCACTCTCCTATGGATAGGCAGCACTTGCTGGGCACAGGGCCCACAATAATATCTGAAGCTCTCACAGGCTAATAGAGGAGCTAATCATTCACTGCCCTTCGGGTTTGACCAGTAGCGTGAAATGATTGACTTTAAACTCATTTCCATTTCCCGTCCATATCAGAGCTCCTCTCTTCCCGTCTGTACCACAATCTACAAATAGGGCCATATACTCACCAGCCCAGCATCTTTGGAGTCAGTGTTCAGAGCTCTTCATATCCTGTTGAACTATCAGAAATTTCACAGTGAGGCCAGGCACTAAGGAGGCTGAGGTAGGAGGATTGTTCCAAGTTCAAGGCCAGCCTGGGCTGCTTAGTAAGTTTAGGGCCAGTTTGGACTATATAACAAGACCCTATCTTAGAGAAAAAGAGAGAGAGAGAGAGAGAGAGAGAGAGAGAGAGAGAGAGAGAGAGAGAGAGAAGGAAATCTTACATGACAGTAGAGAGCAGCAGCAGTTAGTGTGTTGGCTTTTGGAGGCAGATTTTCTTGGTTTTTCATGGCTTAGCCAGGATGTCACTGAAAGGTCAGGGAGTGCTCAGAAGTTTTGTTTAATCATCAGAAGCCTTATTAAGTTAGATCTTCAGGCTTGTTCTGCACTGGTTCTGGGTTTCCAGACTGGCTTCTGATCTAAATCGTCCTCTCATGGCTTCTGCTAGTGGGATATGGAGGACAAGGCCCTGCAGCAGATGTCCCTTGTCCCCGCCACAGTGTCCCATGTCCTCACATAGCTTGTAGCTCTGCACCAGATAGAAGCACGTCTGGGGTGGCCAAAGGGCGGGTCAGGTGCCTGTGGTGAATGCTTGGTCCAAGCACACACGTTTCAGCTCCATCACCACTGCTGCGGCAGTCACTTCCTTTACACCAACGACATCAGCACCCAGAGAAGGCAGCATCTGTCACAGGTTCGAGGCTGTGAGGCTGCTTAAGTAGGACCCAAGATAGAAGCCCAGCATTTTCAGCCCTGGGCCACCAGTTCCTTCCTGCCGCAGTGGTGAGGGGTGGTTTGTTGAGCTAATCCTGTTGAAGCCGGTTTGTGCTAGGGTAGATACAGAAACAAGGCAGCTGAGGAGCCTGTAGTGAGCACCATTTGGGAAGGCATGGGCATTGGTCTGGGTCTTTTCTTTGCCAGCCATATGGTTCTAAGTGGTCTACCTTCTTCAAATGTTTCCTCCTCATGTGAAATGGGAAAAGGAATGCCAACCCTGCCTGCCTGCTTTGAATTATGGAGACAATCAATGAAAAAAAGTGTCAGATGAAAACACTTCGAGAACAGTAAGGCATTCTTATCAATGTGATATCATCATACTCAGCTATTAGAGTAAATGATTATCTGACTACGGAGGTCTGTTCTTTTTTTAAATTCTAATGAGGAAGCCCTCAAAAAAGAATTCATTTTAGGGTAACCCGCCCATATAAAATTTGGAAATAATGCCATGATTATGAACAAAAAAAAGAATCCAGAGATCAAAATTATTTTAAATGAATAGATTTCCTAACAATGGAGATGGCAGAATTTAGCTTTATTTTTTTCAGATACAAAATATACAGCGGCATATCAGAAGAGTGCTTTGACAATGAAAGGAAAATGAGCTGACTGAATAAAACGCAATTCATAATACTCTGAAAAAGTTGCTGCATACCCGGTACACAATAGATACCGTGGCCGCTTGAGGAAAATTGCTCAAGAAAAACCTTGCTGTTTTTCCTTGACAGACATTGATGGCTTAGAGAGCAGTGCAATTGGTGGCCAGCTGATGGCCTCTGCTTCTACAGAGTCACCTTTTACCCAGAGCAGGATAGTTGACGACTCCACAGTGGCAGGTAAGGACTTGGGTCTTAAGTTTCTCAGTGCTTTTTTCATGGCGTGTGTCACCAGCAGTTCTGTTACAGTGTGGTGCCATCAGTGAATGAAGACTTTGTCTTGGTTCTAGCAGTAACGATGGAAGGTATTTAACAGCATCCAGCTGACGATGACATAGTATTTATTATTTATAAGCACAAAGTGAACCATGACCAACAGTCCATTAAACTGCATTTCTTGCCACAGAACTGCATGCTACTCTGATAGCCGGAGAACCCCGGGCCACCCTTTGCCAGGTTGTTCCTGTCTCTGGAAAGTGACCGGGCACCTTCATGTCCTAGGTGTGGCATTTGCTCGCTATATTCTGGTCGGCTGCTGGAAGAACCTGATCGATACTCTGTCAACCCCACTAACTGGCCGCATGGCGGGGAGCTCCAAAGGGCTGGCGTTCATCCTGGGAGCTGAGGGCATCAAAGAGCAGAACCAAAAGGAGCGCGACGCCATCTGCATGAGCCTGGACGGGCTGCGGAAAGCTGCCAGGCTGAGCTGTGCGCTAGGTACCGGCGGGGGGCGGGGTGCTCCCTACAGACTCACTGGGAAGCAGGGAAGGGACCTGCTAGGTGAGTGGCTCGAGAACCTGCTCAGTTAAGGGGTAGCTGTCTGTTTCCTCTAAAGGGGTTGCTGCTAACTGCGCCTCAGCCCTCGCTCAGATGGCTGCTGCCTCCTGCGTCCAGGAAGAGAAGGAGGAAAGGGAAGTCCAAGAACCCAGTGACACCATAGCACAAGGTAACAGCTGCGGGGCCAGCAGCCACCTGGTGCCTGGGCGTGGTGTGTACACACCTGCCGGGTGACTCCCATCCCAGTTCTGCGTGATCCAGTCGGTGTACACCGCTGAGCCACAAGCTTGTGTCTGTTGGAGGTGAGGGACATACATGCTCAGACTCGGTCCCTCTGGCCCCTCCCTAGTGATGAGGAAAGTGCAATTGGCTGACGACTGGAGTCTGTGACCACCCAGCTGAGCCATCATCTGGCCACCGGGTCTTGCACTTCGTGGCAGTGCGCATTTGAAGGGTCCCCCAGTTTACAGCGGGGAAGGCAGTCAGGCCAGTTTTCTGAAAGGGAAAATCAAACAAATGGGGGAATTGAGAGAAGGGGCTCAGGAAGGCTTTGCGCTTGTTGGAGCAGAACCTGTGCTTTGTGGACTCAGGAAAATGTTTGTTCTTGTTTTGTTTTTTGAGATGGGTCTCACTGTGTAGTTCAGTGCTGAACTCCTGATTCTCCTGCCTCTGCCCCTCGAGTGCTGGGAGTACAGGCATGCATTAGCGTGTCCAGCACAGAAAGTGTTGGCTTTTAACTTGTTGAAGTCAGTGAGTTGGTGAAGCTAGTGATCGCCTACGCAGGGGCAAGAGAATGGTCTTCGAAATAGCAGTGGACGCTGAAAGGCAGGTAACAAAAAGGGAAGGGCACACTTGGCCCAAATTATGCCAGTATCCCCTGCTAGATGAGTGAAAGCGATCGCAAAACAGCTGTGTATGTCTAGCTAAGAAAAACAACTTAGGTCAGTGTTCCTCCAGCTTGAATAATATTTAAAGAGCTATTTGAAAGCAGAGAAATTCTTACAGATCCCCCAAATTAACCAAAAAAAAAAGGAAAACAAAATTTCACTGAAGCATTGTACAGCATGAGCTAAATTCTTACATTGATAGTTCTTTAAAAACCCCTAAGACTTGGGATTGGGACATAGCTCAGTAGGAGAGCACTTGCCTAGCATGCACAAGGCCCTGGGTTCAATTCCCAGTACCACAGAAACAAACAACAACAACAACAGCAGTGAAAACCACACACACACACAGAAGACCAAAATATTGTAATTCTAAACAAACATAGGTAGTATAGATTCATGAGACAAAGTATGTTTTGCTAAAAATCACTTTGTCTTCTACAATAGTATGATTCAGAGTCCTTTGAAGTTAGTGCATTATATTTCTCAGTTATGAATTGTAACTCACATCCAGTGACTTGAAACCTTTGTTCGAGGAGGACACTGTCATTTGGCCTTGCCTCACATGCCGCAAAATTACCATTCTAAGACAACATCTGTGAACATCTGCATCCCTCATTAGTTATCAGTAATAGTAATTTTAAGAAAATATTGTTTGGAGCTCACAGAAATATAAACTCAAAGGAAGAATGATACAATTTTCAACTATAAAGACATCATCTTGGAGCTCGCATAGCTTTAGGGGTGACCATCATAATAAAAACATAGCATCAGCCATCTTGGAAGGAACGTGCAGACTGCCGGGAATTCCTGTCCATCACCAGGCAGCACCCACCGGGGAGGTGGAGAGTCTAAGCTCAGATAGGTGAGCTGAAGTCAGTCCACAAAGCCCATCCACACTGCCACACCTGACCCAGAGGCCGTGGGTGGGCTGGGAGGAGCTGCACCTACCAGCTTGGGATCCATCTGACTTCACAGCCACAGAGCTGGGGCCACCCGTGTGCGTGGCCTGCTTGTCGGGTAGTTTGCATGATGAACCCTGAGGCCCTACCAAAGAGGAGCTTGCTGCCAAGGAAGACTGTTGTTACCCTTTTGCCCTTGCATGACGACACATTCTCTCATTCTCATCCTGTCTCTCTCCCTTTCTGTCTCCCTTGCTCAGAGTGTTATTTTAATAAATGTCTTTCTGACACAGTGAAACTAAAAGTGGAGCAGAAACTGGAGCAGATGGGGAAGGTGCAGGGGGTGTGGCTGCACACGGCCCACGTCTTGTGCATGGATGCCATCCTCAGCGTAGGCCTGGAGATGGGAAGCCACAACCCGGACTGCTGGCCACACGTGTTCAGGTGCATGACGGGATCCCCACCCCTGGCGGCACCGACCCTGCCTGGGAAGCGTGGGGGCGGTGGAGAGGGTAGGCTGAGGGTCTCCAGCACTTCCCGAGATGTTGAGCTTTCCCAGAGTTTGAACCCACTTCTAGTGAGGGAGAAAAGGAGAGAAAGGAGGGAACAAAGCCTCACTGGATATGTTTTTGGAGAACAGAGTAGCAGAGCTGGACTTCAGGAATTGTGATTTATCTGTTGATAATGTTACAAGAGACAGACGGGTTGTATCAAGGACCAAAAAAAAAAAAAAAAAACCAATTTCTTATGTAGTGGATGGAAGAAAACTGCGTAAGTTAAGTGAATACTGAGAAATCTTAAAAACTGCTCCTGTGTCGGCAATATAACATTGCTGTGTGTTTGCCAGTGTCCCCTGTCCTTAAAGAATGATTTAGGACAGCATGCCTGGCTACATAAAGTACCTAGTTAAAGATGCTATTTTCATTAGACAAAAAAAGTAGTAATTCTATGGCAAAAAAAAATGGTCAAAAATTTGGTTCTAAGCTTTGTAGCATCAAAGTGAAAAGAAACTCCCAGGCAGCTACCTAGTATAGAGTACCTGTGAGCTGAAAACAGCAATACCCTGGAGTCCAGGTCTTCCTGTGACTAAGGCAAGAAGCGTTTCTCCCCGGGCCCTGGCATGGGGGTACAAGGGAAGAAGCACTGTTCGCAGAGCAGGCTGTGCCTTACCCTGCTCCCCAGCGCAGGCCTGAGGCCCCACATCAAGTGCACCTCTCAGACGGATCAGCTGTGGTCCGGGAACAGCAGGAACACGGTTGAGATCTGGGTTTACTCTGACATCACCAAAGCAAACGCAGCCATGAGTGTTTGTGGAGTTTCCAGGAGAGATGAAGAATGCCCTAGGGTTGTAAAACCACCAGTTTGAGAGAAACGTATGAGAGACCAGGATGAATCAGCCTGGAGCAAAGTGGGTTTCAATATGGAGACTGGGGACCAGCTGCCCAGATGGCCATGGAGCCATGTGGATGCCATCAGAAGAATCCTTGATTATAGAACACCCAAGTGGATTATTCAGGATGCCTCTACTAGCAATTGATTTTTCCTGGGTGATGGAAGACCTCTTATGAAACATTGTAGTCCCAGGTTCCATGGGAACAGACACTTTGGGAGTTGGAAGTTGCACCACACATTGTGACTCTTCCCTGTGTCTGCCGCGTTAGGGGGCCACTCCAGCCTCCTGTCCCACCCCAGCATAGGGATATGGAGCTATCAGGACCGGGCAGGGCCTGGCTGGGCAGAGCTCATTGTAGCATCGTGTGCACGCTCATCGTAGGGCTCCATAGGAAGGAAATGCTTCTGGCCCCGAATCTGGGCAATATCAAGAGGGAGAGAGGACCCTTTGGGGAAACGGGCTCAAGCAGCCCGGCTCCAGATACATCAGTAAGTTGAGCAGGATGGTGCTGGATAAACTGGACTCCTTTGTCTACCTTTCTCCCATAGTGTGACAGGTGAGAGAATCTAAAGCATTCCTAGGCAGGGCAAGGCTATATGGCATGCACATACACGCACGTACACACACACAGTAAACATGGGAGGGAAGGATGAAGGGCTATAAGAAAGGGAAGAAGAGGCATGAATTACAGAGCTGGTCCAAGTGCCTTTGCATCTCACAGTGGGGCACGGAGCGGCCAGGCTGAACCGAAGCACTGAGGGCTGCTTGTCTGACTCTTTCCAGGGTGTGTGAGTATGTGGGCACCTTGGAGCACACTCACTTCAGTGACAGTGCCTCACAGCCTCCTCTGGCCCTCAGCCAGCCCCAGAAGATGGCATCCGGGGCGTGTGGGATCCTTGGGGACCTGGAGTGCGAGGGCTCATCCCAGGAGCCAAGCGTGGAGCAGGGGCCCTCCCTGAGCACGGCCCCTGTGGTCCAGCCTCTGTCCATCCCAGAGCTCGTCCGGGAAGGGAGCCGGGGCCGGGCCTCTGACTTCCGTGGTGGCAGCCTCATGAGTGGGAGCAGCGCCGCCAAGGTGGTGCTCAGCCTCTCCACCCAGGCCGACAGGTACGTGCCAGAGCCCGCCACACCCCCAAGGATTCTCGCAGGGACAGCCACTGCCTGTTGGTAGCACCCACACCTTCTGTCTGGTCTCAGGATCAGCCGAGAGACAACATGATTTGTTAGTCATTTAAATGTCTTTTGATCTTCTTTGAACATACCTCTCCCAGTCACTGTGCTCCGTCCTTAGAATGAGCCGTTTTCTAGAGCCTGAGTCTTGGGCCAGCTACGTGCAGGAAAAGCGCTACACTGTCATCTTGGACAACCTCCCCTCCCTAGTTCCCATTTTCCTTGTTGGTAAAATAGGGTCATTATTTTTTAGGTAACTCTCTCACAAAGTAGTTGTGTATTAAATCAATTAGTACTTTTACAGTTTCCAGAGGAGAGCTTTACAAATAGTGAATATCCATTATTTTTATGATTTTGTTTACAAAATCCAGCACCCAGGAATATATGTAATTTATTGATACCCAGACAACCACATCAAGGTCAGGAGGGGAAATCAACACTTGCCCCATTGTTCGGTGAGATTTTTTGATGCCGGAAGTGTTCCATCACTAGTTACACATGGTGCCACCTCACCCAGCTTCCCAGCAGTGGCACCATGAAGTGTGTACAAAGGACAGGCAGGAAGCAGGCATAGGGGTCCCTGGGCTGGGGTTCGGGCAGCCCTGACCTCATGCTCTGGCTTCTACACTGACCAGCTGCAAGTTACATGTATAGACACAGTTCTGCTGAGACACTGTTTCTCCACTAATACAGCATGTTTCTCTTCATACAGCATGCACGTGCGACCACTCATGCAGTGGTCCCTTTTTCCTGTTTATCCACCAAGTTGGCCATGCAAGTGTTTTGGAATCTGGGAGGAGACATCCAGGTGTCAGGTGGCGTAATCCACCATTATTTTTAAAGAGACCATTAATAGGACCTAGAAGCCAAATGGTGTCAAAGTGGGAATTACAAAAATAGCAAGAATAATGTGTTGGTTTTAATGAATTATAGATGTTAATCTCCTTCCCATCTTAGACCTTAGTGTTTCTCATTTTGCAGCTTCAGGAAGGCTCAGGATTCAGTTTCTAGCAGAGACGCCCTCTTTAACCCACCAGACTCTGGCCCCTGGTGTTGCGGCAGGCTTGGAGAGCAGGATGCAGGATTATCCAAGAGCTGCAGGCGGGCTCGCCTCCCTGCAAAACTAATATTTGATCTTGGCACACGTCATCCTAGTGACCCTGGGTTCTGATCCTCTGTTACTATGATCCCCCTCCTCCAGTTCTCATGTTGGGAGTGTCTTGTGCCAGAGGAGTGAAAAAGCAAAAAGAATCTATAACAAGGCCCATTGTTCTCTCAGTGCTGGGGGTTAAACCCACAGCCTTGAGCACGCTAAACACTTGACTTACTTCTAAGCTATATTCCCAGCCCCAGGAACATTCATTCTTCCAGCAGATGCTTGAACACCCATAACATCCAGGGATCTGGGTGTGTAATGGCAGTCCTACCACTAGGGCTCATAGGATGTGGTCTTGGGTGCTTGGGTGTCTTCCTCAGCACCAATACATAGCATGTGAAATGGCAGCGAAGTCTGAGGATCCCATTCCCAGTCACTCAGATTCTGGGAGTGTTTGGCCTGACCCCAAAGGCAGATCACAGATCTTGCCGCACTCCAGGAGCACCCCAACCATGGCTGAGCTACACCGTGAGGAAACTAAAATACACTTTTCACCCTGAGATTGAAATCCCACAGTTAGTGCGGACTTGTGCACAGTAATAACAGATACAATAATACCGTACATTTATCTACACTGTTTACACAGCATTGTTGGTAATTACATCAACAAAATTACCATAATCACTCTGCCATAAAGACCTGGCTGAATTGTTTCCAAATAACAGATCTCCTCTGGTTGTGTCCAGGCTTTTTGAAGATGCTACAGATAAACTGAACCTCATGGCTCTGAGCGGCTTCCTTTACCAGCTGAAGAAAGCGTCACAGTCCCAGCTTTTCCATTCTGTTACGGATACAGTGGATTACTCTCTGGCAATGCCAGGTAATCATTTCTTTGAAGGAACTTTCAGGGAAGTGAGCAGAAAACAGCCAAGTCTCTTTGAGGCCGTGTTCCCTTCTCATGACGTCACACCGGTGAAGTTCAATGCAGGCGTGTCTTTCAGTTTTAAGGCACAATGGTGGAGGTGGGGTGACTGAACGGAAATGCTGCTGCTGCTGCCAGTACCGTGGGTATTGCCCCGGAAGTGGGGCTAGGTTGTTCTTCTCAGGGTTGCGCTTGTGATGGAGAAATTGTGTGGCTACTTTTCAGGGTCTAGACAGTATCCCAGGATGGGCAGGATTCTCCGTACCTCAAATTCACCCCTCGCTTCCGCCCACCTGCCAAAGCAACCACTGGCTTGAGAAGGGCAGGTAGGAGAGAAAAGTGGGAAGGTTAACAGGAGCTTTATCCTCTGCTGAGAGACTGCTCTCAGGCTGATGACGGGCTGGTATCACAGTGCCCATGGGTAAGGCCAGGTGAACAGCTTCTCCTGAAGACCACCCCTGGGGAAGGAGGAACAGAGTTGTGCTACCCACTCACTGAGTTTCCAAACGAGTGCCACGTTGCTCAGACAGTGCCAGGTGCTGGGATACACTCTGGTTGGATTCTAGAACCTCTGCCATTCCTCCCATTTAGGAATCTGAGCGTGCAAACGCTAGATTTTGGCCCTTTGATGCTTTCTGAAGATTCTGATTTGAGAACCACAGTCCTTGCCCAACTACTTTTGTTTGCTTATTTTGTTTTGATTTTTTAGTTCATTTTGTTTAACAAACTCTTACATCAGTGACTTATTCTCAGTAGATCACAGGAAGGGAGCTGCTCTGATATATACAAAACCTGACCCCAAAGGCAGATCACTACTGACCCCCACCAGCTTTTGAAGACTCAAACCTTAGCGATATAAAGCCAACCTCCTGGGCTCCTCACACTTCCAGCACATTTCTGAGCCCAGGGGTGACCTTCAGAGTCTTCTGCTTTAGAGAAAACTGTAGGCTCTGGGCTTACAGGGAAACAATGACCAGAGTTGGGATGCAGGATGAAGATGGAGCCCTGGCTTTGGAACCCACCAGGTAGGAGTTAAGACGCTGCCATTACACTTACCAGCTGTGTGGGCTGAGGCCAGTCAGTTTGCCTCAGTGCTGTATCAAATCATGGTAACTCTATTTACTTCTTGGGGTTGCTTAAAAAATTAAAGTGATTAAAGATGTAAAGAACCAACACAATGTCTGCTCCTGGGAAAACATCCAGTGAATGTCCATGGTTGCTCTTCCCGTTCCTTGAAGTCTGTTTGACATGACTTGACAGGACATGACTAATTGGAAAGCACCGCGTGTTGGAAGAGCCAGATAAAGATGGGATTCCGTAGGACACAGGGGAGAAGCAATAGGATGTAAGGGGAGAAGCAATAGGATGTAAGCAAGAGGGCAGTGGGAAGACTAAGGTGGCAGCGACAAAGCAGCAAGAGATTAGGGTAGGCAGAGAGGCAGGAAGGCAAGACAGAGCAGGTTAGCAGGCCGTCACCGAGGAACGGAAGCGCCTGGGCTGCTTGGTGAGACCTGCAGAGGAGCATTAAGGGTTGGCAAAGTCAGTGATGATGGTGAAGCATGACAGGAACAACAGGAATGAGGGCAGCTGAGAGCACGCATCAGCCTGCGCAGCCCTGCGCTTGGCCCTGGATGTGCAGCACCACATTTATTTAACCATTAAAGCAACTTGAGGTAGGTGTGATTCTCCCCAGTTCCAGCTGAGGTTATTGGGGGTTAGCAGGAAGTCTCTGGCCTCCTAAGGATGCCAGGGCTTGAGTCCAGGCTTCCGACCCCCAGCCCTCCTACTCAGCCAGTACTCCATTCTTTCTTCTCAGCAAATATCGTCACACCTGTCTCATACCAGGGACAGAGGATATGGTGGTGAACACAAGAGTGCTGGCCACCTAGTATTTCTTGAATGGAGGGCCCCCTCCATGTTTGCGTTTCTGACACTGAATAATCTTATAAGTCTGAGAATGGTACCTTGGTTATCACCCTCTGTGTGCTCCAGCTTTCTGACTGTATGGTCCTGTCTTCCTACAGGGGAAGTTAAATCCACCCAGGACCGAAAAAGTGCGCTCCACCTGTTCCGCCTGGGGGACGCCATGCTGAGGATCGTGCGGAGCAAAGCACGCCCCCTGCTGCATGTGATGCGCTGCTGGAGCCTGGTGGCCCCGCATCTGGTGGAGGTGAGCACTGCTCCTCACCCAGGCAGGGAGAGCTGGCACCCCGGTTGGGGAAGGACCTCCTGCACAACACCGCATGGACTGCTGTTGGTGTATGGACAGAGTGCTGTGGCCCTGGAGCTGTGAGATCTTTCCCGTCACTGCCTGGTCACAAAATCATTGTTCTCTGGTTAAACCTCAAGGCACCTGGAGAACCATCCCAAAGTGTCCTTGTGCCACTATGTGCCTTAGTTATTCTCTGGTCGCTGGCGCACAGTACCTGACACCCACATCTGTAAGGGGGAGAGAGACTGGTTTTAGCTCACAGTTCGTAGAGGTCCCAGTCTGTAGTTGCTTGGCTCCATGGTAGAGGAGAAATAACTCTTGCCATGGTGGCAGGAAGCAGAGTGAGGGATCAAGAGAGGAGGAGGGAGATAGATCCCGCCAGGCCATGCCCCCAGTGATCCACCTCCTCCACCAGGCCTCACCTCCCAACATCACATTTAGCTGTAACTCATTAGTGGACTCATCCACTGCTGAGTATCATGGCCCCATAAGCCAGTCATCCCCCCCTGACTCTCTGCCCATGAGCACAGGAGGCCATGAGGGGACATCTAGATACAAACCAGAACTCTGTCTCTTCAGTCATACCACTCAACAAGTTACCTTGCAAGGCTAGTTTTTTATTCTTCATGATCTGCTATCAACCTGAGTCTGGAGCTAAAAGACAAATAGAGAGCTTCTCTTATCTTCTCTTTTTCACATAAATGTACCAATGTCTTTCATTCCTGCCATTCTCTTTTCTAATAAGTTAATTACTCAGAACAATGTTCTTTCAGTAGGGGAACCATATATCTTGGTTTTCCTAACAGGATTAATGCTAAGGCTCTTTCACTTTCTGAGGGAGAGCTTTTTGTGGGATAAATTTTGGGGCAGTTGCCCATCTGACAATCTATGTTGACAGAAAAAAAATGTTGCCCTGTTTTATGGTGACAACTCCTCTTAATAGCCTTTTATATCACTTGATAAAGATATGCAATAAAAGATTTTTGGAATTTAATTCACTCACTTGAGAGTATTCTAATAGGGTAAAAAAGTAGAAAATGTTAATTTAGGGAAGGACTAGATCAGTTATATTACACTATAGTAAAACACCCTCAAAACCTAGTGGCTTCTAGGTTTATTTAGCTCTGATCCTTGGGTCAGAAATCTGAGGAAGGCTCGTCTGGGTTGTTCTGGTCAGGGCCAGCCTCCTGGCTCTCAGCTGGCCTTACATTTGCACCAGGTTGGCTGGTGTAAAGACTTTCACCAGCTGATTCACAGTGGTCTTAACTGAGAAGGCTGAACAAATGGATCTCTCTGTACCTGGTCTCTCACATAGACGAATGTGCAGCAGACCAGCCCTGCTCATTCACACGGCATTCCTAAGTTTTCCCAGAACATCAAGAGGGCAAACCATACCTCACAACTGCTTTTTCATTCTCAGCTTAGACAGTGTTCACTACCATCTCAGGGTCAGTGTGGGAGGACACCGCACAAGGGACACAGAATCAAGGAGGTGTGAGCCAATCAGAGTGCTCATTGCAAGTGGCCCACCTCACCGAGAGACAAATGACTCCCCTAATCTTCATATGCTTGGGGTGCAGCTAAGGATGGGACCATGTGCAGCCCCAGGCTAGCTTCTAGTATCTATAGAGCGAGCATGATCTATAGTATCTGTGCCACCCAGGAAAACTCTCAGGCTTACTGCAGGGGAAAACTGACCAGAAATATATTTTTCCATTCAAATGAATTTGGAGTTGTGTCTGATCAGTTGGTTGAATATCTTCAGATACAATTCACTGCCAATTCATCTATATTTGTTCCTGAGAATTTTTGCCATTACAGAATTACTGCTTTTCCCTCGGTGTAACAAGTCAGCTGCGAAAGCTGCAGAACTGCATTTCTCTTTCCTGACCACCTCCTGGTGTCCTGCTCCCCCTTGTTCTATGCAGGCTGCCTGCCACAGGGAGAGACATGTGTCTCAGAAGGCGGTGTCCTTCATCCACGACATCCTCACGGAGGTTCTCACGGACTGGAATGAGCCACCTCATTTTCACTTTCACGAAGCTCTCTTCCGACCCTTCGAGCGTATTATGCAGCTGGAGCTATGTGATGAAGATGTCCAAGACCAGGTCAGTATGACACCAGCATTCAGCGATGCTGTCACCAGAGGCAGCTTCTAGAACGCAGCTTGGCAGTTGCGGTCCCCTGAGCCGTGCATCCTTGATCCTCCCAGTAATCCTGGATTGAGCTGGTGACAGAGGTTGAGCAATTTAGCTAAGGATACCTACTTAGTGATGGTGGAGCTGGATCTGGATCTGGACAATCTAGCCAAGTGGTCCATCCCCTCTTAACCACCACCATCCTTTCTACTACTGGCAAATAGTAAAGAAACCCACTGCAGACTTCCCGGCTAACACAACAGTGGGCCAGGAATACAGATGGACCTGTCTCTGAAATCTACAAAAATGTTTCAGTTTGTATCAGTATATGTTTGTGACGCAGAGATTACACTCAGCTTGGGGGTTTGATACACGCACATATCACATCTTGATCATTTGACTTGATCCCCTCCCATCTCTATGGAGTCTACCTCCATGGTTCTTAATGGGGCTCTTTAAATTACTTAGTTTTCAGGTCTCTCCTGTTAGAGAAACCATGCAATGTGATATCCCTTATAGGCATGTGGACATATTGGCAAAAAATAAGAAATATCAATGCACTTAAAACTAAGTGACAATGGGAAGCGAGAGAAGGCAGCTGGGCCTGCAGCGGCTTTTACAGGGCGAGACTTTACCCATCAGACATCAGGGGTCCTGATGTCTCATTTTTGAGGGCGCAGGGACAGGAGACAAAGCTCAGTGCCACTGTAGAAGCTGCTGTCCACTCAGGCCACTGTGGAATTAGAACTGAACCCAAGCACCACCCTCCCCCAGAGCACTAGGAACCTGTTTCTGACAGTGATTCATAGTGGAGACTTTTTCAGAAGTCTCCAGAATTTAAAATTACAAGCTGGCCTCTTCCTGGGGTCTCTGTATGAAATGGCACCACCTCAAGGGTACAAAAGTAACTCAAAATGGGTCATGACTTCATAAAGAACAAAAACCACTCCTGTATCTAGAAGAAGCCCCAGAAAACAATCATTGAGAACTTGAATTAGGTAAAGATGTCTTAGAAATGCCAGCAACATGACTCATAAAAGGAGAAATTGATGAGTTTAACTTTATCATAACTATGAAATTTTGTTCTTTTAAAGATACCATTAAAAGATAAAAATAAAGAGACAAGCCCAAGGGTGTTAAAAATATTTCTAAATTACAAATCTTAGGAAGGACTTGAATCTACAGTGCATACACACTAACAACTCCGTAATAAAAAGACAATAAGGAGCAGGTATGCAATTCAGAAAGCAGTTTACAGAGTGGCTAATGAGCATGTGAAAATGCACCGGGCAACATTAGTTGCTAGAGAAATGCAAATTCATGCAGTCTGGCTGCTTATTCTGAAGATTTCAGAGGGAGCCTGTGTAGGTTCTGGTTTTTCTCTTTCTTTAAAATGAACCCAGAAAAAGACATCCCCTTCCCAGAAATTCCCCTGCTTCTGTTGAGTGCCACCCGCTCTGCCTCAGGTGGTGACATCCATCGGGGAGCTGGTGGAAGTGTGTTCCGCGAAGATCCAGTCCGGGTGGCGGCCCCTGTTCAGTGCCCTGGAGACCGTGCATGGCGGGGACAAGTCCGAGATGAAGGAGTACCTCGTGGGGGACTGCTCCATGGGTAAGAGTGTTCCGCAGTTCTTGCCATGGGGCCTTCCTTCTTCATGCCAAGTGTCATGTTAGCAAAAGACATTGAACAAGAGGGAAGGCAGACGTTCCGCCATGCTTTATAAGCAGGCAATAATGTGTAGCAAGGCGCTGGGGTCTGAGTCCTGCCTGTAGCCCAAGAGCCTGATCTTCCTCAAGCCTGCTGTGCCTGACAAGTGGGTAAAAGCCTGAGAGGTTTCTGTTGGCTCACTGTGCACTGCAGTGCAGAGTTCCTTCCCCAAACCCCAGATAAACAGTGTTGTAGGTCATGCTTCAATAATCGGAAATCTGAAATGCCCCCACATCCAAGACTCTTGGAGTGTTTCAGAGCATTTCAGATTTCAGATTTTCAGGCAGGGGTACACCGTCATTAAAATCTATAAAGTTATCCAAAAAAATGTTTTTTTTTTAAAAATTCTCTGAAATAAAAAATCATCTCATCCCCAGCATTTAGAATGGGGAATTCTCAACCTGTACTTATACACTAATAAGTAGCAGAAAAGTGTGGTAACGCAGGAGAGTCAGAATGAGGGATTGCGTGGGCAGGCCCAGTTCCAGGGTCCTTGTGTCAGGGGTCCCCAAGGTGACCTCTGCATTCAGAAGCTCAGTAGGACTCATGGACTCGGAATATAGTTGTGCTAATATTCATCCCATTTATCACACGGCTCTTGGCTAAGATTTACTATGGCGAGGAAGTAAGGACACAGCAGGTCAGAGCACCCTCCACTATCACATAGCAAAGGGCCAGACAAAGGAGCGCAGGTGTTCAGCATCAAGCATATGGTTTGTGGAGTCTAGGCTTAAGGATCCTCCTGCAAGTGTTGACGCCAAATGAGGGCCGCCTTGCAAGCAAGCTTTGCTGAGGCTAGCACTCCCAGGCCTTCTTTGTGCACTCTCTCTCTACCAGGGACGAATACACTCCTCTGTGCCGTCTCGGGGTTAGCTACACGGGCCTTCCCCTTGCCTGTGGCTCTGCCAGCTATGGAAGTGCAGGAGCCTTTCCAGAGGCACACGTTTCACCACCCTGTAGACTACATGTCATTGCAGCCTGCGTCCCTCCAGCTGTCCTCATCTCTCCACTCAGCTTCTCTCACCGCGATATGTGCATTTGTACTAGTGCATACTAGTATACAGAACTCTGGCTTTCATGGGGCACTTTCATACATGCACGCAACAGCTGTCTATGTAGTCTTCCTGCAGCTCCTTGCAGGTGAAGCTGAACAGGACAGTACCACAGCCACACCAGCTGCCCAGAGGTTGGAGCTGGGAATATGAAGAATCTGAAAGGTAGAAATCAATCTTTTTTTAAAACTGCAATCTTCCTCCCCCAGGAAAAGGCCAAGCTCCGGTGTTCGATGTGTTTGAAGCTTTTCTCAATACCGACAACATCCAGGTCTTTGCTAATGCAGCCACCAGTTACATCATGTGCCTTATGAAGTTTGTCAAAGGACTGGGTAAGTGGGTCCTTTCTTGCTTCATAACCAGTGGAGAACCTCTCCATGGTGGAGAGACAGGGCGCCTCAACCACCTGAAGCAAGCAGACATCCAGGGTCATGAATGAAAGCAGTTATGAGGTTGAATCGTCTGCCCAGGGGCAGAGATCTTACTGTGAAAGCAGCCTCGCTTTGTCCCGAGTTCATGTTTTTTCATCTTTTCCAAGGATATCTTGTAATATAGTGTGTATATATACATAAAATATCATGTACTTTCACTCTGTACATTACGCCAATTCTTTAAATCTTAAAGTATTTCCTACATAAGGGTAATCATGTGTAATAATAATTATTTCTTTAATAGGAAATCACTCTTCTCATTGTTACACAATTAGCCTACATTTGCTGTCCCAGCTCCTGAGAAAAAGATTAAGAATATCTTCGCCTAGGGCTTATTAATAAATAATAAATTTTATTATAAAATAAAGTTATATAATAAAGTTTAATTCATAAATTAGGCATAGTAAAGGACTCACAATGACTGATAATAAGCTAGAACAACTGTAATAGTGTATTGGTACTGTAACAGTTGATCAATACCCCAGATGGCTACTAAGTAACAGGCAGGTAGCATATACAGTGTGGATGCACTAGACAAGGGAATGATTCATATCTCACAGTGTCAGTGTTCTACCCAGCTCCAATGAGTGTCATCCCATAGATTCCTAGATCTGGATGCATCACATACACACAGATTTGGGAACACCTACTGTGATCAATAGGAAATTAATGTATTTTAATTTCAACATGAATTTGACCTGGTCTCTGCCTTTATATTGTAAGGAATATAAATGTAAATTGGGAGCTGGCAAACTAGGGCTCACAGGCCCAGTCTGATCCACTGACAATTTGTATAAAGTTTTATTGGAACACAGCCATGCTCATTTGTCTATGGCTGCCTCTGTGCTATAAGAACAGGGTTGAGAAGTTGTGAGATAGATTGTATGACTTGCAAAGCCTTAGGTATTTACTGTTTTCCCTGTAAGGCAGGCAAAATCTTTTTTATAATCTAAAACATGTTTATCTACATGTTTTTAAGAAGAAACGTGCCTCATTGCTTCTGAGATTTAACTAATGCCTGGTAATTATGTCTGTTTACTCACAGGGGAAGGTGCTAGTTGGTACAATTATAGACAATTAGAAACAATTACAGTCTTGTAGAATGATTTTATTAGAAGTATGGAAATAGATTGACTACATGAGAAGAAAAATTATAATTCTCAATTATTTATACCTATAAAAATCTAGAGGCCCTTCTCCAGATATGTTGAATCTTCATATATGTAGAAAAGTAGAACTCGTTTAAATCCAATTAAGTCGCCATCCCCAAGCCCCAGATGTTTATACTCTTGCTAGAGTCCCCTCATTTACTATCATCACTCAGTGCTGAACCCTGGAAACAAAATCCTTTTCCAAACACAGAGGCTGGGGGGTTCATTTCAGCCCAGCGCGAGGCTGATCCCTAAGATCCTCCTCCATCACCAAAGCCTCCGAAGTCACACTTTCCAACAGCTGGCCCCAGAGCAGTGAGCCGCGGTGTGCCCACACACCAACGAACATGGTCCAGGCATGGAGAGACTAGGGCAGAATATGGAGCAAATGATCATGCGGAGAAGGCTGACCCAGCAGACTTTTCTCAGTGTTGTGTTTTTGGCATCATTTTTTTTCTTTTCTCCTTTTCCTCTATTTTGGCCAATATCGAGTGAACCGATGCTATATGAGTGAGCAGGTCTGCTGCTGTAAGGGAAAACACAGGGGATTTTGTCTTTCTCTGTCTCCCTCGCTGCCCTAGGGGAGGTGGACTGCAAAGAGATTGGAGACTGCGTCCCAGGACCAGGAGCCCCGTCCACAGACCTGTGCCTGCCTGCCCTGGATTACCTCAGGCGCTGTTCGCAGGTATGGGGAGAGGCCCACACTCGGCTCCAAGCCCCAAAACGTGCCTCACAGAGTACGAGCAGATGTCTTTTGGTGAAGCCCAGGAGAGTCGTTTTCTGCTATTTCCAAGGAGATTAGCACTTAGACTTGAAGAATGTACTTTTCATGAAGTAAAACAAATAATGATAATAGGCTGGGGCACACAGGCCCAGAGACAAATTACTGCCTTCTCTATGTTCGCTGAGCTTGCTGGGGAAGCACCATGAGGTCCTGGGGAGGCCTCCTGCTGGTTCTGTAAAGTGGAGCGTGGGACGTGTCCCATCAAGATCTAGTAAAGAAATCTAACACTTACCAATGTGAACAGTGGCCTTCAGGATAAAGTGTTGGGTTTGCTTTGTTCTTATCTGCCTCGAATACCGAAAAAGCAAGACAGTGTTCCCTCCTCGAGCTCCCGCTGAGTGGGGTCAGTAGTAGTCTTTCTCCGAGGTCTTTCTGTTGTCTTCGTGGGCTGTGTCCGAGGCGTCTCCTGGGCTCTTTCTACCTCTCTCTGTCAATGGTGACATTGAGTCCGATGACTTTAGGAAGGACGCACGGCCCTGACTGCGTCCTCTGGCTGCCTCCACCAGGCCCTGTGATGCCCTCCGCCCTCAGACTTTTCCCTGTCACCCACAGGCCTCCAGCCACACTGACTTTCTGCTGCACGCTCATCACTGCCAGGGCCATTGCTGTGCCCACTGCCTGGACTCCCCGTCCCAAAGCCCCTGGCTGGCGTGCCTTATCTCCCAGGTCATCTCAGAAATGTCCCCTCCTCTGAGAGAGCAGGGCCACAGGACCCACCAGCCCCCTGCCAGCCTTTCCCATGCGCCGCAGCCACTCCTTCTTGTAGTCCTGTTTAGCCTTTCCTATAGCTTGTATGTCAGAAATTTTATTTCTTGTGAAAGGATTGCGGTTTATAAGCCCCACAGGGACAGGAATTCCGTCTCTCTTGCTCACAGCCATTCCCCTGGTTTCTGGAACAGTGTGGGCATGGCAGGCATAATTCCTTGCTGTGGAGCTAGAAGGACGCAGGCTGGGGGCGCTGCAGCACTGAGAGGGAATAAGAACCCGCGCCACTGTTCAGCCCGCTCCTGAGACCTGCGAGTCTCCCATCTCCTCCGCTGACGTCTCCGGTTGCCCTTGTGCCTCTTTGCTTAGAGACTGCGTCAGGGAAGGGGAAGCCAGAGCCCGACCACTGGTTTGCCTCCAGACTCTGCTCAGGGATTGCCCTAGGCAAAAAGGCTTGACCTGTGCAGGATCCCCTTGGTAGGGTTGAGAAAGTCTATAAAACTCATGTAACTAAGATGCAGAAGAAGCATCCTCTGAGTTTTCTTCTCTGTGGAGTGCTGTTTCCTCTGCTCAGTGGGATGTCTGTGTCTTGTAAGCTGCCTTATAAATCCAAGTCACAAACAACTAACTTTAAAGCTTCCATACGTTAGACGCTTTTCTAGTTTCCCCGTCCCCTTAACCGGTACGTAGTTTTATTGTCCTCTAACCCAGAGTGCAGCTTTTTTCAGTATGTAATTGCAGTATTTTTTTTCTCGGCTTTTAGTTATTGGCCAAGATCTACAAAATGCCCCTGAAGCCGATATTCCTTAGTGGGCGACTTGCCAGCTTGCCTCGAAGGTTTCAGGAGCAGTCAACAAGCAGTGAGGATGGGATTGAGTCAGTCCTGGCTGATTTTGATGACGATACCGGTAAGTTACCTGATCCAGTTAAACCAGGTTATTTGCTGTGCTCACCGTCCCAGAAGCTTAAGGTGTACATTAGGCAGCTCACAGTTCATAAAAGTAACCATCTTTTTCTGTTATTTTTATAATAAATTTACCTAAAGTTACCACGGATGTTCCAAAAACACCACTTTATAAACAATGCCTCTAACCCAGGCTTCTTAGATGTACTTTTCAGAGTTCACTAAATACAGTTTCTAATTCTGAATTATCTTGAATCGAGCAAATTGGAATGAAGTTGCATCACTACATTAATACCTAAATTGGTTAGGAACTGTCTTTAACAACTTTTAGGAAACACTTGATCATACATTTACTTCTTGCAGGACTACTCACTCAATTAGAGAAGAGGGACTTTAAGCCATTACAGAGATTAGTGAAGCTGCAGGCTTCAGAAAAGAATAATTTTAAAGAATTTGTTTCCAGTGAGGACCCCCTGTAATCTCTTATGAATCAGAGTTTAATCTAGTAGCTATGAGTAATTTTCAGGCTGTCTTTAGATAATAATTTTTACTTAGCATTTGAAACCTCCAACCTATTTAATTATAAGCAGAAGCTAGTATTGATTATCTATAATTTATTCTTTTACAACAGTTACAAATTCTTATGTATTGGAGTGAGCCTTCTTTCCCATTTGTACAAAACAGTAATCTGTTTTTTTCCTAGGAGGTGCATTTGTTGATAAAGTTCAGTCAAGCAGCTATCTAAAATTTCACACATTAACAGTTCATCCAGGAGTGTGAAGATGTAATTATGCGTGAAACACAGCTCAGAGAAAAAATGAAAGCAAAAGCTTTAAGTTAGTATTAAAGACTAAACAAGAGCAAGGGATGTGACTCAGGAGTAGAGCACTTGCCCAGGATGCACAGGCCCTGGGTTTGATTTACCAAAAAAATACTATAAACAATTCTGGACATTGATATATTCTCAGATATTATTCATCTTGCTTCCAAGGCAAGTGATTACTTTGTACACTTTCTGGAAATTTCAAACATATACAAAACTAGAAACAATATATACAATATATACATACCACATTTCCCCAAAAATAAGACCTAGCCGGAAGATAATCAGTCTCGAAAACTACAAGTCAAAAAATACCAGCCCCAGTCAGCCTACCCTTGCCTTCCCTGCCTTACAGAGCAGCCATGGAGCAAGAGAAGAGTGATAGCAGGTATGAACGGAGTGTGGAAAACTGGACAGAATGGTGTCGCCTACTTTCAGTGACTATCAGTTTACAGATAATCTCAGATCATATGCATTTTCTCTCCCCCCACCCCCTTTCCAAATGAGTTTAAAGCAAAACATGAAACATTTAGAATCTTACTATGAAAGTTTATGTCCCTTAAAAATAATGTAGGGGACAGAGGTCACCTCTGCTTCATCTGTTAGTCCTTCTTTGTGTGCTCTGTGGCTGGATCTAAAAGCCCAACTTGCTGGGCATGGTGGCACATGCCTATAATCCCAGCACTCGGGAGGCTGAGGCAGGAGGATCCTTGAGTGTTCAAGACCAGCCTGGGTTACAAAGTGAGCTCAAGGCCAGCCTGAACTGCATAGCAAGACCCTGTCTCAAAAAGATAGATAGATAGATAGATAGATAGATAGATGGATAGATAGATAGATAAAAAGCCCAATTAATAGAAGAGCGACTTAACACAAGAAGAGCAGAGAGGTTTGGTGGTACTCATCTGTGATCTCAGCACTCTGGGAAGCTGAGGCAGGAATTTCAAGTTTGAGCCAAACCTGGGTAATTTAGTGACTCAACAATACACTGTCAAAGAAACAAAAAGCGGGGATGAGGCTGGGGATGTAACAGTGTGAAGGCCTTGGGTTCATTCTCCAGGAAGGAAGGAAGGGAGCAAGGGAGGAAGAAAGGGAGGAAGAAAGGAATGAAGGAAGGAAGGGAGGGAGGGAGGAAGGAAGGGAGGAAGGAAGGGAAGAAGGAAGGGAGGAAGGAAGGGAGGGAGGGAGGGAAGAAGGGAGGAAGGAAGGGAGGAAGGAAGGGAGGAGCATAAAAGTTTTATTACTTTCATACGCACATGAGAATCTTCACACGAGTGAAACCTGAAGAAATGACCACAGCTTGAGGCTTTCACACATCTCAGACAACACATAACAAATTCATGAAGGCGTGACAGGACAAATGGAGCTCTGGCTAGGGTAGGCAGTTAGCTCCAGGGCTATTGCTAAGAGAGGGGTGGAGGTGGTGTAGACACTAGTGGGAGGTAAAGGTTACTTCAAGTTGGTTTATTCAGGCTCATTGTAGTCCCTGTCGCCAGCCTCTGGATGACAGCTCTTTTCCTGCCTTCATAGATGAAGGAGAGAACAATCTCTGTGGGGCTGCGTGTAGGAAAGACAGGCCAGGTGCTCCCATCTGAAATTACAGTCCCTGGAGTGATTCGAGCTCGACATGCCCAGACACCAATTTGGCGCATTTTGAGATGGCATGTCTCTGGCTCCTTCAATAACAGACATAATCCCAATACTCTTACCATACCTGGAATTACAAATAATGCACATAGATTTGAGGTCCCCCAGGGCTAGAGTGAGAGGAGAACGGGGAGCTGTGGCTCAGTGGTCACAGAGTTTGTGGATCAGGCGGTGAAAAAGTTTTAGAAATAATAGTGAGGGTTGAGCAACAATATACATGTAATTAATGTCATGCAATTGTACATAAAAATGGCTAAAATGGCTTTTTTGTTCTATATATATGTATATATACAGATTTTACTACAATAAAATCATTTTTAAAAAAGACTAAAGTGATGGAACTAAAAGCATGTTCCATCATTAACTCTCAAGACATCTGACACTCATTTCAAGAGAGAGCTTACCCAGAACATCACCTTGTTATTAAAAGGAGTAAGGACTTGGAGCAGGTATTTCCCTGTCGCTCTACTAGAACACAGCAGTCATACTCAGGCCACACGTAGGCCCCAGGACTAACGCCGGTGCGATGATGCAGTCTGGGTAACGTGTGGCAGTATCTGCACAGCGTCTAATTGAGTGTTGCAAAGATTCTTCACAATGTTTGACTGGGTCGCACACAGGTCTGCTTTGTGGTCTCCAGGTCTGATAGAAGTCTGGATCACCCTATTGGAGCAGCTCACAGCAGCTGTGTCCAATTGTCCACGTCAACACCAGCCGCCAACCTTGGATTTACTCTTTGAGCTGTTGAGAGACGTTACCAAAACACCTGGTAAGTGTTTCTGTGTCTGATTTGCGGGGGGAGTCATACATAAACCTTGTTCACAGGAGAGTATTCTTGGGGGTGTCCACCTGTTTTCACTGTTTCCAGGACTTAATTCAAAGCTGCACGCATCAGAGATGCTCGAGCAGTATTTGTTGCTTGGCCATGAAGGAGCAATATTTGTGACGTGTGCCGACATTGTTTCTATTTCTCCTTACCAATGCATATATAGAGGTTGCTGGTCAGGTAGCTGGGCAGTCCTGGCACCCGACATGAGCCAGGCTGAAGCTGGACCCATCTGTCCCTGTCTGTACACACCAGCTGGCTCTGCCATGTTCCATGGTCACAGTTCTCCTTGGCCTGATCTTCCAGGGTGTGGTGTGGGTGGAAGGCTGTCAGCAGGGCTTACCAGGTCTACGCTTGACCCAGACAAACCACTCACAGGCTCATGACAGGGCCTCTCATTTGTATAAAGGTCAAGGAAGATTAGAATTGGAAAAAAAATGTAGTACTTACCTAGTACAGCGAGTTAATCAAGTTTGGCATACATATTTCTTCATCCCAATTTTTCCAAGGTCAGTGAAACTTTTTATAGAAATGGTAGTTTTTACTACCAATCTGAATGCTGAAGGAAACCACTAGTTAGTCCCACAGGGAGAAGGAGGAGTCTATGTCCATCATTAGGGTAAATTGATACTGTCTTACAATCCACAGTGAAGTTTGTACTGGAATTATTTCAGAAAAAAATACTGTAGCTACTCTTACATGTTAGAAAGTTGGAAGCCTCCCACTGAAGAAAAAGTATTTTATAGAATTATGTGCCACTATTTCTAAATCTGCCTCCTTGCACTAAATCTGTGTGAAGAGCATTTAACTAATAAGTCTCCTAGTAATCTATCATTATGAATTAACAGTAATGAATAAAAAAATGTATAGGTGTTTGTTGAAACATCCCAAATACTTTAAAAAAATTAAGGACACCTCAAATGGGAAGCAGTTAAGTAAACTATGGTAAAGAATATAAATATTTTTCAGGCATTAAATTAATGTTTATGAATAGTATTTGATAACAGTTGCTTGTAAGGCATTATAGTAAAGTTTATATACAATATATATAAAAGAGTTAAAGTTTGTATACAGAGGGCTGGGTATTTAGTTCAGCAGCACAGCGCCTGCCTGGCAAGCTCAAGATCGTGAGTTCAATTCCCAGTACCGGAAACAAACAAAGAAACAAACAAAACAAAAGTTTATATACAGTAGAGTATAATATCAACTATATAACTGAAATTTTATACATTTAAAAATACATATACTCATACCCATTCAAAAACTACTAAAAAGAAATATATCAAAATGTGATTATATCTGTGGGTTAGGGTTTTCCTGTTTTATATTCTCATGTAATGTATATGTTTATTATAAAAATTATACTTGTTCTTAAAGTAAGAATTTTAATACTCTATCAACACTCCTATAGGGAAGTACAAATATTGTCTTTATAGCATCATCTACAAGCAAAACATTAAATACCTTAAATGTCCATCGGTAAGGGGATGGATAAGTAAATTACTGCACACACATACAATGGAAATAAAAGTACTTCTGTTGGTTTATTGAAAGGAAGAGTTAATGCTCAGTGTTTGATCAATTCGGCACACCTATACCTGGTAATGTGAACAGCTACTTTGAAGATAACAATATGCAATATAACAACCATTGTTAATTTCCTATCATCTTGTTTTCAAATTCTGAATCATTTTATTGTTTTTTCTTATTTTTTATTCTCTTTAAAGTAAAAAAGGAATATCTAAATTTGCTGAGCAATATGCAAAACCAGGTTTGTATTATCCCATTTCAATAAAAATAGCTTTAAAAACTGGAAGCCAGTGTGATTATATGCACTTCTAGACCCAGCTACCTGGAAGGCTCAGGCAGGACTGTTTTAGCCCAGAAGTTCAGGGCAAATCTAAGCAACACAACACCCCATCTGTTGATTGATTGATTTGTATATTTTTTATATTACAGTTAAATGTCATTTTTCAAAGGGCATTTTCTTATATACATATGTGTATCTGTGCTTTTACAGCTAAGGCCTGGGAGTTGATCGAGTGATATTTTAGGTTTATCAATCCTTGATTTTTTTGTAAAAGTGTGTTCATATATCACTTGCTTAACTAAAATCATGCAGAAACAATAAAGAAAAATGCCATCAACACTCCCTGACCACTGGCGGATTCTTTCCCTGAACCTTCTGAGGGAGTGAGGATATCTTTCGGAAGGGATCCATGATGCCACACCATGGCCAAGAGCATCCTTCTCGAAATCACAGTTCCGACCTTGACCTTTCTTTTTCAGGACCAGGGTTTGGAATGTATGCAGTCGTCCACCTTCTCCTTCCTGTGATGTCCCTGTGGCTGCGCCGTAGCCATAAAGACCATTCCTACTGGGACGTGGCCTCTGCTAACTTCAAGCACGCCATCGGGCTGTCGTGCGAGCTGGTGGTGGAACATATCCAGAGCTTTCTGCACTCGGGTAGCTGCCGGGCCGGAGCCAGTCACTCTGGGCTTTGCTGTCACAGGCAGCGTTGTTGGCTAAAATTGCTTGAAGAATACCTAATGCAAAAACCCCTGTCTGGGAATTACTGAAACAGAATTACATAGCCAGTGCCGGCTACCTAGTAATATATTATCAAAGGGAAAACTGGTGCTCATGTGCCCACTACAAAATTATCAGAATACTCTATACATGTAGTTGAAAATAAATTCCTAATAAGCAGGTCTAGCACAGATATCCATTAAGAGAGGGAAAGTCAAGATCAAGTACATAGTAAATTTAAAAAAAGAATAAATATTGCTTTAGCTATGGAGCAGGGAAGTGGTGTGTTCTGCAGTCCTGCTTCATCTGGGGAGTTTAAATGAGGGAGGCAGTGATTTAGAAAAGGCTTAGCTATAGGCATGAAGTTGCTTAATAGGTTGAGGATGAAGAGAAAGTTCTGGGCCAGGGAGATAGCTCAGCGGCGCAGCGCCTGCCTGGCAAGCGCAAGGTCCTGAGTTCAATTCCTGGTACCAAAAAAAGAGAGAAAGAGAAGGTTCTAAGACCTGTGACACTTTGAAAAAGATGTGGAAGTGTGGGGGTGGGGAATCTGTTCAAATCAGCACTTGGAGAAGGACAGAGGGGAGGGAAAATGGGTCTGTTTTGGTACCAGTGGATTTCTATTTGTGGAATGCAGATTCTTAGTCATGACCTCCACCAGGAGAATCTGGAAGCTTGGAGCAGGAAAAACATCACAGCTAGCCACAGAAGTTGTACATAAAAGAGAAAGACATACGGTAGAGGAAGAGGTCCCTTGCCGGAGACAACAGAAAAACTAAGAACACTGACTGGGAGGGCAAGTCGCAAAGCAAAGATAAAGAGCTGTCCCTCTATTAAGTGTAGTAAAGACAGATTTGCCCTGTGAAACAAGACCACTAATGGAGAAAGGAATAAGTAGGTTTCTCCACAGGCGGGGGAGACAAGCTCTAGAGGTGGATGTTCCCGACCAGGTCATTGCTTCACACAGCAAAGGACTCTGGAGGGTTCTCTTGAAAATTGGCATCACAAGGACCTGGGGAAAGAATGCAGCTGCAGTCCTTAAACTAAGAAAATGGAATGCACTTTCTGGGAGCCTCGTTTCTGTCAGTCAGAAACCAGACTGACAGGCGTGAAGAAGTGGTAGGACCAACTAGAGATTTTGTTTTATTTTCCAAGGACATTTCATTTGATTTAATTTGGCTATCAGTTGGAAGGGAAGTATGTTTTAATTTTTCTGTTTTTAAGAACTTAAATTTTTTTACTAACATTCAGGCTGTATCATGTGCTCCATTTTGAGTAGATGAATTATATACTAAACTTTGAAAAGATGTACATCAACATACAGAAGGCAGATGTTTCGACCTGCTGTACGTAGATAAGGTTGAAACAGCTCCAGTTGGGTTCAAATCCAACAAATGTTTCCCTGGAGGCTTTGAGGGTGTTATAATTTTCCTCAATATTCTATTTTTTCCCAGATATTTATGCACTTTTGTCAGACTTTCGCCTTTTGCTATAGAGGGCCATTTCCACCTTTTCCTTCATACCAGGGCTAAGTGAAACGCTGTGTTTGCCTCTTCTAGACATCAGGTACGAGAGCATGATCAACACCATGCTGAAGGACCTCTTCGAGTTGCTGGTGGCCTGTGTGGCCAAACCCACAGAGACCATCTCCAGAGTGGGCTGTTCCTGCATTAGGTGAGGAAAAAGTTCCCTGGCTTTCCACAAAGTCGAACATTTTCTTATAAAAACCAAGGAAATCGAATTATCCTTTGTGATAGCAGTCCACCTGTTGGCTTGCTTTTTATAAGTAAAAGTGACGGTGTGCTAAAAAGTCTTCATTTCAGTGTCCAGTCAGCCAATATTTATTCCATGAGGCATTTTACACAGTACTCCAGGGCATAGAACGTGCTGTAAACTAAGAACCCAACACAAAACGATGTAAGAGCGAGAGGGTCGCGTAAACATGGCGGTGGTGAAGAAGGACTGATAGGTGCTGGAAAGGACGGGAGTGTGGGGTGGGGCAGTCAGTGGGACTTGCTGCAGTAGGAGTGACACTTCGGGAGGTCCTCCAAGGTGAGCAGGCCCTCAGTAGGTGGGGACTTCGCACATAGAACAAAATGAGCAAATGCATGGGGACAAGCGTGGCAAATGACAGTAAGAGGAGCTCTGTTTTGTGTGTGCACATTATTTGGAGAAGCAGGGGCGGGGATGGGGCTAGAATGGAGAAATCGGTGCAGAACATACACAGTCACACGTTCCAGTCTAAATCTGCACGTTGGCCTATTTGTAATGGGGCCCCATTGCTATTTCCGCATGAAACAGTATCTGGACAGTGGGACGCACCTGGAGAGAAGACACAATGCTAAGCAGGGACAGGAAGACACCTAAGGAAGCCACAGATTGTGGCTGTGCACTAGTCCACAAGGTCCTGAATTTTGTGGCACCAGAACGAGTGGACTGGAGACTTCTTTCTCTCGGCAGGTACGTGCTGGTGACGGCGGGCCCGGTGTTCACGGAGGAAATGTGGCGGCTCGCCTGCTGTGCCCTGCAGGAAGCCTTCTCCGCCACCCTCAAGCCAGTGAAGGTAGGTTGCTGGGGGCAGAGAGCCCGCGCACAGCTCTTCTTCTTGGGCCTTGGTGCTCGTCAGGTGGGGCACTGGACTCTGCTTGCCTCCTCACAGTGGGCCGTCACACTTGAAATCTCACAGGGGATGAGAAAGAAGTTGCTGGGTCAGTATTTTTGCCCCATGCGTAGTGACAGTGCCAGATCCCACCCTGGCCTGGCACCGTGAATTAGCATGCATCCAGTGAGCAGCGCTGCTGTTTCTCCCTAGGACTTGCTGGGCTGCTTCCACAGCGGCACGGAGAGCTTCAGCGGGGAAGGCTGCCAGGTGCGGGTGGCGGCCCCATCCTCCTCCCCGAGTGCCGAGGCCGAGTACTGGCGCATCAGAGCCATGGCCCAGCAGGTAAGGGCTGTGCTCTGGGGGTGGGGCTCCAGCAGCTCGAGGTGCACGCTGGGAGTCCCTTCTGCAGGTGCTGAGCTGCCCTTCAGCCACCCGGCAAGATGTGCGAAGTCACTGCAACACTCTTCTAAAATAGACTGTCACTGGAGAAGAGGAACCACGAATCATCCCACTTCTCAGTACTTCTCTGTGTTTCTCAGTCCCAGACCTTCCTTCTGTACTCATTCTAGAATAACCTGCTAATTCTCAAAAGATTTGGAAAGAAGAGATTTTCTTAAAAGGAGTGTAACATCCAAGGGTGGACGGCAAGCCACTGCTCTGCCGGAAAAACGCACCTCCCGACGGTCCTAAACCCAGCGTCACAAAGGAAGGGAGTAGGGGTGGGGGTGACAGGCAGCTACTCTGGAGAGGTAGGGAGTATCGAAAAGTGAGATACCCATGGGCTGGGGGCCCAGCTTATTTGGACAGTGGAACACAGCTGGATAGAAGACACAAGTGCTAAGCAGCCCGGCAAGTCACTGTGTAGACTCCCTGGATCTGTGGTCCTCACCTTGGATTCCTTCTGACCGCGTGACCCTTCCCTGCTCTTTTGAGGTGGATGGGGGTCCCTTATGGAAAGGTAGCTTAAAAATTAAAGGGGAAGTGTACAAGTCTTACCTTAAATGTGCTACCTGAGACCTTCCACGGCCAGATCTCTTCTTCTTTCTAATTGCAAGCTAGTTGTAGAGGTAGAAGTTGCCTTTGAAGGAATCTTTGCTAATTTTTAATAAAGCTGAATGACGCCTTCATCCTATCCTTTCCCTATGGAGCCTCCTGTCCCTGCAGTAGTCTGCTATTTCTAGGGGTATTTTAAATCACAAGAAATGACATCGCTTGGTTGCTATTTTTTTAGTTACTTCCACCATTGTCTAGTGGAATAGCCATATCCAGAGTGCTGACAAGAGAGCCCTGATTAACTTCTCCTTCCAGCACTGGGTAGACGATGAGGCCAAACAGAGATGATCTATTACAAACAGAGCTCCTTTGTATTTGCTCTTAATTAATACTGAATGTCAACGCTCGTATGTGGAATATAATGGATTGCCACGTGGTAGGAGTAGCAGTGTTATTCGTGTTAGTGTCAACAGCCAACACTTGTGTACTCAGTCCTAATGTTTGCATATGTTGTACACGTTTAACAATTTATTTCAACAAACACAGGCGGTGGGAAACCATTTCCATCCTCACTGTATAGGCGAGGAGAGGGGTGAGAGAGCAAGCCAATCCCAGCGGAGTCAGGAGATGACGCGGCACCCTGAGCTGTGCCTCTGTCACCCCCACAGGTATTCATGTTGGACACCCAGTGCTCCCCAAAGACTCCAAACAACTTTGATCATGCTCAGTCCTGCCAGCTCATCATCGAGCTGCCCCCGGATGAGAAACCGAACGGACACACCAAGAAAAGGTGAGCGGTGCTGACGAAGTTCATTCATTCCCAGCTCCCTCAGGTTTTCATCTGAGCGTTGGCCAGGAGTACCAGAAACGTCTGTGGAGTCATTAAGGTTCTCATAGACATGGTGAACCTTTCCACCAAATTTCCTGCCTTTCACCTGTATTTACCCAGGTGTTTGAGCTGCCGCAGCTGACGCACACTGTGGGGACTTAGCAGAAATGTGTTTCCTCACCGTTCTGAAGCCAGGAGGAGTGAGTGGGGATTCCTCTGTGGTTCCCTTTTGGCGTGTTGATGGCCATCTGTTCTGTGTCCTCACATGGCCATTCCTTTGTATGTTTCTGGGTCCAAATTTCCTACTAGACTGGGACTCACGCTAATGGCCTTATTTTGACTGAATTACCTCCTTAAAAACTGTTTTTCCAGTGAGCCTATAATCTCAGCACTCAAAGAGGCTGAGGCAGGAGGATCACCATGAGTTCGAGGCCAGCCTGGGGTACATAGTGAGTTCAAAGCCAGCCTGGACTACATAGCAAGACCCTGTCTCAAAAAAAAAAAAAATACAGTGTGAGGGCGTAGTGTTTAGAATTTCAGTGTATGAATTTGGAGATGACACAGCCCATAACATCATACATATGGCACAGATTAGATGATTTCAGTGAGAAATACTACCTTTTTCATTAGTTATACAGTTGTCAAGAGGCAAAAATATTTGTGCCTGGCCACAATAAACTGTTTTTTTTTAAATACAGCAAGTCCCAGATTTACGAACAAGTTCCATTCCAGAAGAATTGTCCATAAGTTGGATTCATTAGTAAACCAACAAAGTGCATCTTACACAATATGCCTATGAAAGTTCGCAACTCACATGTTTGTAAGTCAGGGACTCCCTGTACTATCACCTTGCCTAAAAAGTACTGCTCCTAGAGTGGGGGTAATAAGTGGTGACTGGCTGGAGTCCCCCATCATAAACTTCTGGAACACTAGCAGTAGTGCTGACGCTTCAGTAGTGATAAGGTCACTGTCCTAACCATAACCTCTGATGTGCCGGTAACAGGAGGTGTGGAGCCTCTGTGAGGAACGTAGGTCATGAGAGTGGAGCCCTCAAGAATGGGATTAGTGCCATGAAGAGACCGAGAGTCCCCTGCCCGCTTTTTGCCCTGAGAGGACACAGTAAGAAATCGGCCAATGAAATCCAACCATGCCAGCCTCCAGAACTATGAACAATCACATAAGCCACCCAATCTTTAGTATTTTGTACAGCAGTATGAGCTAAGAAAGTTGTTATTTCATAGGCCCTGGGTGATTTAGCCAACAGTTATCTGGTTTGGCGAGCAATCTGATTAATAACCACCAGTTGAGTGAAATTGTCAGGTAGTAATTCTTTTAGTCAAGGGCTCGTTTCAACAGCACATATAATTTTCTTAAGTCAAGTTTGATACATACAAGAGAATATGTGGAATATTCAAAGGTCATGAAGCTTGAATAGAAACTAAAATATCTATGAACCTGTCACACAGTTTCCAAAAGTGAACTTTACCAGTATGTCATGTGCTGTTCCAGGCCCTGATTCCCTCAGCTAAATATGTAATACACATAGTTTTTAAGTGTTGGTCACTTTTAATCTATTTTACAAACTAAAGTCTGTACAATCGTTTCACATCTTTAAACACTGATCTGTTTGGAATTTCAGTTCTTTTTCTACCTCTTTTTAATTTTTTATTTTGAGGTTTTACTAAGTTGCCCAGGCTGGGCTGAAGCTTGCAATCCTCCTGCCTCAGCCTCCCGAGTACTGGGATTACAGGTATATGCCCCCATGCCAAACTTTTTGTTCTACCTCTTGTTCTTTTTTTTTTTATATACTTCTGATTTTTATTTAGCCAGTTCTTGTTGAAGTATTTTCAAAGTAAAAGCAAAAAGCGGAATAATAATAATAATAATAGACTAAACTCAATAAAAACAAGGTCTCAATGCATATTAGACAAGTGTCGTGCTGCTGACCTAACCCCAAACCTGCTGAATTCATTGTCTAAATAAACCATAGGAAAAACAGAATAACCTGATATTCGTAGGGTTTAAAATATGTTTTTTAACGTTTAAGATTTTAAAACACATCAACCTGTATCATAAACTTAGCACTTTTAATAGGCATTTACTTACTGTAGTTAGGTAAAACAGGAAACTGCATTAAAATTCTTAGCCAGTCCCACTGGCCACTGGGCCAAAAGACATTCCAGAACATTCTATAAGCATGCTCAGCCAGACTCTCATTAACAGAGACAGTTTTTTAAGTTTGTTGTATGCTGGTCAAGTGAACCAAAGATCTATGTTAAAACTTCCCATGGGGAAAAGACTGAATCTTGACACTGATAGCCCCACGCTATCTGAATTACATCTGTAAGATATCCTTTAAACTGTGGATCTGTTTGTCTCCATACCTACGTTCGCATGTTTGAAGTTAACTACTTGCTATGCAATTAACTTTCAAATATGCAATCAAAGGCCGGCTTGGTGCTGCACTGTGCATCCGAAGCAAGGGTATAGTTTACAGTTCCCTTCTGGGAAGTATTCTGAGAAGGTTGAAACTTGGATACAATAAATTGAAAAACATGGGGCTGGGGATTTAGCTCAGGGGCTGGGGATTTAGCTCAGCGGCAAAAGCGCCTGCCTGGCAAGCGCAAGGTCGTGAATTCGGTTCCCGGTACCGGAGAAAAACCAAAAAAAAAAACATATTGAAATACTTGAGAACAATGAATTGGAACATTTTTTTATTTTGTTTGACTTTCTCTCTGCTGTCAGCATAGATAATTGATGATTGCGTGCCTGATCATTTCACTTTTCCCATACCTTTCTGAAATTTTGATCTCTTCAGTACTGCTTCCTCTCTCCCTTTGTTTTCTGGTTGCTGCATCATTAGCTGGGCCTAAGTAAAGTAAATGAGATTTTCTGTCCTAATTCACCTGCACAGTTGATCCTCAGAAAGACACCCCACATCTCAGATACAGCTCGCTTTGGGTGCTAGCTGGAAAGGGACTTTACACTTCTCAGAAAAAGAAACATACCCGGTGGGCTGAGGGCTTGCTCCTTTCAGAAGGCCAATAACCCCACCCTCTCGCTGTGCTTCCTACTTTGGGGTCCAGAACATCAGAGCCATTCCTCAGGGCGAGCATTTCCTCTTGGTCGTGGCCTGTCTGGACAGCCTACACCAGCACAGGTGTGCTGCTGTTGGTTGGTTTGTTGTAGAGACTTCCTCGACATTTCCTGGAGCGCTTAGGACAAGAAGATGAGCTGGTTCCTGCCCTGGCCACAAAGACCTCTGTGTGTGGTGGATGACGGGCAGGGGAACAGACTGTGTGATCGGTGAGGGGTTCCTTCGTAGGGCTCTGTCGTTACGGACTTGAAGCATGAACCCAAGTCGGGCCAGGCGTGGTGGTGCACGCCTGTAATCCCAGCACTCGGGAGGCTGAGGCAGGAGGATCGTTGCGAGTTCGAGACCAGCCTGTGCTACAAAGTGAGCTCAAGACCAGTTTGAACTGCATAGTGAGACCCTGTCTCAAAACAAAAAGAAACCAAGTTGGTAGCTTTTGGAAGAATGCATATACTGGTTTCCTAATGCCTTAAGTATGTTTGTTTATTTTGTGGTACTAAGGATTGGGCCCAGGGCCTTTGCACTGAGCTCCATTCCTTGCCTATTTTTTATCTTGAGTAGGATCTCACTAAGTTGCCCAGGCTGATCTTGAACTTGCAGTTGTCCCGTGTCAGCCCCCCAGTGTGCTAGGATTACAGGCACATGCCCCCAAGCCCTGCTGCTAATGCCTATGTAACTTATCAAAAGTTGCTTAAGTAGGAGCTGAAGGGAAGAAAAAGTAATGAGTGCTTGTTCGGCAGGTGCTGAGTTTCTGTTGGGGTGATAGCAAGTTCTAGAAATAGTGGCAATGGTGATACAACATTGCGCTTAAAATCACTTGAATTGTACACTTAAAAATAATTAAAATAGTAATGTTACACACGCACACACACACACACACAATTTGTTTGTTTACCACAAAAGTTACTTAAGTGATTTATATTTTAAAGGCTACTGGTTTTGAATGATAGCCCTTTATTACTCATCTTTGTTGAGAGTAACGCGCTTTCCCTCAGTGACAGCTGTATAGAGGGCAGGTCGGCATTTAGTTTTACGGAAGGATTTTGTTAAGTAAAAAGTACTTTTTCAGAGCCGGGGATATAGCTCAGCGGCACAGGGCCTGCCTGGCAAGCGTGAGGTTGTGAGTTCAATTCCCAATACCAAAAAAAGAAAGCATGATGTGTAGCACATGGCAAATATTTAATTAAATGGTAGATATTATTACAAAAGTACTTTTTCTACCAATTATTCTTATCTTACTATGACCTTGAATTTAAAAATTTTTATGAAGCAAAAAGTTGTTAACATAACAGTTGGGCTTTTTAAGTGAATCTTAATAAGAGTTGCCATAATTTTATAATTATCCAGATACAGGAATTCCTTGGCAGTATAATGACATAAGCTATTTTTACAAAATTCTAAGCAGTGAAAAGAACATGCAACCACAAACCCCAAATCACGCTGGTTGAACTAAGATGTTTGGAAAATGTAACATCTGGAACTGAAATTGTCATCTTAGTACAAGAACCAACCAAACCAAAGGGGCTGAATCACCAAGTAGTATCTGAAGCTACCCAACCTCAGTGGGGTCCTGCTTGGTAACACAGCAGGAAGTTGTCATGGGTGACTTGGGCATGTTCCTCAGCCAGGTGCCCAGGCCTGATGTCCTGGGGTGATTGTCCCTGTCCCACTCCCCTTCCCACATAGCTGACCCAAAGGGCATCCCAGGGAGACTCAGTGGCCATCCGAGGAGTCCTGTGGCCACGTCTGCAGACAGGAAGTTTGCGTGTAAGTGCTGCATTTTCCCCTGTGTTTTCAGAAGGCTGTAGTTTACACTGTCAATTTATTTCCTCCCTTGGCAATGTTAGCGCCCTAAAACCTCCAGCATTAAAACATCACAGGTTTGATTCTCTTCTCTTATACAGCCTGCCAGATGTTCAGTTTTCACATCAATATACCTAAAGCATTCATCTTTAATCCTGGAAAGCTGGTTTGCTACCAACACCAGCCTCTAACACAACTTCAAAGCACTTTGAGTGATGGGAAAAGGCTCTCAGAATTAAAACTGAGAGCGCTCAGAATTTCTTACTCTCCATCTTTTATTACTCATAACTAGGAAAGAAAACAAAATGTGCCGCATCACACAAAAAAGTACCTATTTTTAAATTTTTTATAGAGCTTATTTTTCTAAGGTTTGGTGATAATTGTTAATTGAGTAGTATAAATTAGCTTCCAGAGCACCTGGATTTTAAAAAGTGCTGGAATTCTGCTAAGTATGATTAAAATGGAAGTTTGCCTTTTTTTTTTTTTTTCCAAAAGAAAGACACTGAGAATATAGACCGTTTGGGTTGCAAGTTTGCAGCTGTTCTGAAATGGATAAGGTCTGCATCACTGTGAAATGATCAAGGTGGCAGAAGGCTACTAATCAACGCTTTTCTTTTGGTTGGAAGCGTCTCTTTCAGGGAAATCGTGGTGAGCCTGTTGTCGCACCAGGTGCTGCTCCAGAACCTGTACGACATCCTGCTGGAAGAGTTTGTTAAAGGTCCCTCTCCTGGAGAGGACAAGACGGTCCAGGTGCCGGATGCCAAGCTGGCCGGCTTCCTCAGATACATCTCCATGCAGAACTTGGCGGTCATCTTTGACCTGCTGCTGGACTCGTACAGGACAGCCCGAGAGTTTGACACCAGCCCGGGCCTGAAGTGCCTGCTGAAGAAGGTGTCTGGCATCGGGGGCGCCGCCAACCTCTACCGCCAGTCCGCCATGAGCTTTAACATCTACTTCCACGCGCTGGTGTGTGCTGTGCTCACCAACCAGGAAGCCATCACTGCTGAGCAAGTGAAGAAGGTCCTTTTTGAGGACGACGAAAGAAGCACAGATTCTTCCCAGCAGTGCTCTTCGGAGGATGAAGACATCTTCGAGGAGACGGCCCAGGTGAGTCCCCCGCGAGGCAAGGAGAAGAGGCAGTGGAGGGCGCGGATGCCCTCGCTCAGCGCGCAGCCTGTCAGCAATGCCGACTGGGTGTGGCTCGTGAAGCGGCTGCACAAGCTGTGCATGGAGCTGTGCAACAACTACATCCAGATGCACCTGGACCTGGAGAGCTGCGTGGAGGAGCCGCCCGTCCTCAAGAGCGACCCGTTCTTCATCCTGCCCTCCTTCCAGTCCGAATCGTCCACCCCGTCCACTGGGGGCTTCTCTGGGAAAGACACGCCTTCCGAGGATGACCGAAGTCAGATCCGAGAGCACCTGGGCGAGTGTCTGGGCCTGCGGGTGGGCAGCGGGGATGTGCTGATGCTGCCCCCCAGCCCCAAAGTGGAGAGGAAGGACGCCGGCCGGAAGAAAGAGTGGTGGGAGAACGCTGGCAACAAAATCTACACCATGGCGGCCGACAAGACCATTTCCAAGCTGATGACCGAGTACAAAAAGAGGAAGCAGCAACACAACCTGCCCACCTTCCCCAAGGAGGTCAAAGTGGAGAAGAAGGGAGAGCCACTGGGGCCCCGGGGGCCAGACTCCCCGCTGCTTCAGCGTCCCCAGCACCTGATGGACCAAGGGCAAATGCGGCACTCCTTCAGCGCGGGCCCCGAGCTGCTGCGCCAGGACAAGAGGCCGCGCTCCGGCTCCACCGGGAGCTCCCTGAGTGTCTCCGTGAGAGACGCTGAAGCACAGATCCAGGTACCTCTGAGGATGCAGGAGGGAGGCTGGGTACCAGGTACAGAGGTGAACCCCTTGCAGGGCATGCGTAGACGCTAAGGTTTGCTAGACACCATGGGAGGTGATCAGCCAGGCTACCTTCTCAGTGAGAAAGCTGTCTGAGCCTCAAACAGAGGCTCTGCTTATACCTGCTCATTAGTGTGAAACTAAAATCTTAGGCTCAGATCACTTCAGAAACCATTTTTCTGTGTTGCAATGTGTATGATCTCTGCCTATCCTGTATGTGAAGTTTAAACCACAGTTAGTTATAGGCACATAAAATTATTAAAAACCAGTTTATTATAGCTGAGGCCTGAGAAAACTCATTTGCAGTTTCACACTGCCCTCTGAAATCATGAGACAGCCAGTAATTCTCCTAAATCCTTTGTCTTAGGCATGGACCAACATGGTGCTAACAGTCCTCAACCAGATCCAGATCCTCCCAGACCAGACCTTCATCGCCCTCCAGCCCGCCGTGTTCCCGTGCATCAGCCAGCTGACCTGTCACGTGACTGACGTCAGAGTGCGCCAGGCCGTGAGAGAATGGCTGGGCAGAGTGGGCCGTGTCTATGACATCATTGTGTAGCAGGCTCGAATTCCATTTCCAAGGATGTAGGCGAGCCAGGGTCAGAGTCTGCCTGCCAACCTAACAGAGAGCATCCCCCTCTATGTAAGAGGTTTCAGAGAGTATTCCCTAAGGTAAGAAAGCCTTTCCAACTATTCCGTAAAGAATACCCCTTGGGCCATCCTGGATACCAAGGTGACATCCAGATGACACCAGTGATCTTCTGATTTTGCACATTATTACAGAAGATTCTGCATTCTTTGATATAGTTCTAACTCTTGAAGTTTATTTCCAAGTGCTTTTGCTTGCAGTGTTGTCCCCAGATGGATCATTTTCAAAGACCACTCCTTTGAAAACACTACATAGATCCATTGGAGTCATCATTTTAAAAGTAAATGCAATTCCTAAAGAACTACGCGCTTGTAAGTCGAGCTGATGTATAAACACTCATATCTAGTACCAGGCATTATTAGTTAGAAGCAAGCTTATAGTATGATTATCAGCTTGGCTGGGAAGAAAACAGCTACTAAAAGGTATTTTTCAACGCCACAGTCAAGCAACAGATTATTTCTGCTGTGAAATATTGCGGAACATTTCAACATTATTCCTAAATTGTTAAGATTTTCAGGTTAATATTTGCTAGTTTCCCCCATAAAAGGTACTGTCGTGCCTTTCTCTGTTTCTAAAGAAAGAAATTCTTTCCTAGCGAGCTTGTAAGTCTGGCTTGGCAGCCTTTAACACAAAGGATCCCATAGTTCTGGCTGACACATCTATTGTTCAGAGACAACAGGAAAGGAAAGAAAAAAGGTGCCTTAGTCCTTTGTTGCACAGACATTTCTATGCCCCACAACTATCTGAACCTAAGGTACAACACTCGGTTTTTAAGAGAACCAAATATTAAGATGTAACTCATTTTATAGTAGTATTCTTGGAGGAAAGGCACTCAGAGTCCTCCATCCAGTGAGCAGACTTCTCAGGGAAGGGGCAGGAAGTGTGGGGCAGGGAGACAGCTGGAAGGGGTGGGAGAGGGGACCGTCGTGAAACATGATGCAGCAAATATGAAGTGAGAAACAAGCTGTAGTCTCATAAGAAGACAGGACTAAAGGACAAAGAGACGCAATGAATTTTAGAAAATTATTTTTTCTATTTAAAATATGTCTCTTTATGTTTAAAGTCCTTTTATTTGGACCAATATTTTCAGTAGATATTTCTTTCCCTAAGTATTATTAGAAAATGAATTTGAAGCCTTTATTTTATTACAGTATGTGTGTATATGCAGACATACATACACACACTTTTTTTATACCAGGCTGGGGACTGAACCCAAGGCCTCACTCAGGCTAAACGCGCAGTCTATCACTGAGCTACCCCCCTAGTTCTTATATAATGTACTTTGTATTTCTAACATTATAATAATGATTGAGCCATCTCATGCAAGCCCACTTATATATATTCTAGAAAGTAGAGTTAGTTCCTAAAGCATACATGGTAATTTCCCAGCACCTAAAAATGAATTCATATGTCATCCTTTAAAAATAAAAATTAAACATCGATTCCTCAGTATTGAAGTAAGGCTTTGAAATGGATCAAGCTTTATCCAGTGACAGTATTCATAAACTTAGCCCTCCTTGAGAACTAAGTAGCTATCAGCAGAGCTGGAGCAGGGCAAGGTTCTCTGACTTACTAAGTTGACCAGAAAAGCAAACCTTATTCTTCACTACGCTTCTGGAAAGCACTACCAAATCCAGAGGAAATTTTTCTTGATCCATAAAACATTTTCTTTGCCTTCAGTTTTTGCTCATTGGACAGTAATTCACATTTACAAACAGATCAACTATTTGTTCTTAATAGACAATGAATCCTTACGATAGCAAAGAGCTGTGTTCTTATCTATAACTTTTAAATTTGTGTACTTTGTGAAACTAAACTTTGGATAGACTATTTTTTTTCTAATGAAAAGAGCACACCATGGTTGTTTTGTTCTTTTTATAGCTCAGGCACTCCACAGTTTATGGGTAGGGTGTCAGCAAACCAGAATACAGAAGCAAAGTACCTACAAATGCTTATATGTAGCAGCCTTTCATAAAGGACACAAATTCAAAGGAAGCTAGTCTCAGGGTATAGGTTTCCTGTTCCAGAAGTGTGACAGTTAATTGTTTAGAAATGAGAAGTCATTCTCCCGAAGATTCTCTATCACAGACTCCAAGGTGAGCTGATGTACATCAGTTTCGCCATGATACATCCAAACCCTGTTCTGTACCAGGGTTTCTATTCTGGTTATGGGCCCCAAGAATAAAACGATGAGGAGGTGTACCCAGGTCCTAACCTACAGCTTTGGAAAAGGTTTTGGGTACCTTCCCATCCTGTTGACAACCCACTCATTCCAAGTTCCACAGCGCTGTTATGCCCACCTCCAGGCCTAACGTACTCTGAACTCCAGGCCTACCTGACGCCCAAAGCCACGTCCAGTTTCAACTGGGAAAGTAGCTAGGTCACAGCAACTATTGATTAATTCCCAGGGGCATTTGCAATTTTCAGAAGGGACACTGCGTGATGCAAAGGAGTCTCTAAAGAGTAGGACTTAAAACCAGGCACAGTACTGCATGCCTGTAATTCCAGCATGCTGGGAGGCCGAGGCTAGAGGCTCCCAAGTTTGAGCCCAGCACGAATACTTAGCAAGGGCCTGCCCCCAAATTAAAAGAAAAAAAGTCTGGAGCTGCATCTCGGCGCAAAGTCCTCTTTCTTGTGTTTTAGCAGAGACACAGAACTAGAACACCTGTTCCCAATTTTAGGCTATTCAATGATAACCACTTAGGGCCTAGGCAGATGCTAACATATATAACAGCTGAGGTTAAAATATTTTAAGTCCAGTGTGCCAACAATGTTCATCTAATCCAAAAGTACCTTTGACCGAGATGTCCTGGTGTGATGGTTACCAGGCTTCCCACACTCACTGTTCTTAGAAGAGCACACAGCGTCGGTGGAGGAGAGAAGCTGCCTAACTGTAGGAAGGCAATGCAGCTACATGACAGACATCCATGGCCTCCCAGTCCCCCACTGTTCCGCTTACAGAGAGGAACACTTCTTCGGGAAGGAAAAGCCACCAAGGTCATTCCCATCAAAGCAGAATGAAGACCTTTGTTTAGAACTGTTAACAGCAAGCCGAGACGAATAGCATGTCCCTGAATGGATCTTCACCTATATCATATTTCATTTTGATAGTGACTTTGGGAAACAACTATAATGTTCCTCACTTTTTCAGATGAGAACCCACAGAGGTTCAGACATTTGCCCAAGATCATGAGTAAAAGGCAAAGCTGGGTGCACAAGAAATGCTGCTAGACCAAAGGCAAGACTCCCAACCCACAGTCTAAGTGCAGAGTACAAATGTGGGAGAAAGAGGTTCTCAAGGAAGTAGGCAGCGAAAATAATATTTGCTTGATCTGTCTGAGACGTTACATGAACTTTTTAAAAATAAGATTAAAAATGTGTTTGTGCATAGAAAGGTTATATAAAATACATTATCAGTGTTTGAAAATAAGGGACATCAAAAGCTAAACTTTAACCGTAAGGGAATCATTTAGTGTTACTTTAGAAAATTAATCAGTGACAGAATACTACTATTCATGGCCAGCTATTAATACAGACAAACAGGGCAATCTGTGTCTGGAATGGCATGCATAATTCGTTAACCTCTCCAAACACCAATAAAACATGAGTCAACTCAGAATAAAGTGCCCTGTAGCCAACAGTGCCTCTTTACTTGCTTCTCTGGGAAGTGCTAAATTTGTAGGTCATCATCAAAGTTTGGAAATACGCAATATAAATAATCATGTTTTTCAAAATGCACATTCTGTGAAGAGGAAGCAACGAGGTGGCCAAGATTGTTTAAAGATCCAGGTACTGAGGGCATCAGGACAATATCCATAGCAACCATGTGCCATAATACTGCAACATTTCCACAGGCTCTACAGACAAGGAAACAAACTCCAGAGTCCTGCAGTGACCTGAGGACTAACCTTACATGTGCTTGGGTACCCCTGAGGTGAACCCAGCAAGATCTAATGTGGCCTTAGAGAAGCAAAAGAATGTTTTTCAGCACTTTTTATTGAAAGGATGATCTTGATATTGGGTAAGATTTATAATGTTGGTTAAAAGCTTGACTTGTGCACTGGGAATGTAGCTCAGTGATACACACTTGTCTAACATGCATCAAGCCCTGGATTCAATCCCCTTTACTGCAAAAAGAAAAAAAAAAAAGATTTATAATTATACCATCTCTTTATTCACTAGTGGAGGAATCTAAAAAAATACATTTGTTTGGGAGAGCTCCTCCCTCTGGCCATAGTATAGTGTTTGTGCTTAATGTAGATGTAACTAATGACCTCATTAAGATTTTGGAATAGAATACCATTTAAATTTCCAAAACAAGAATATTAATTTAGGGAAGACAAAAATCATCCCAAGATTGTCTAGAAGAAATTCATTTGAGAATATTGCTCAAGATGCTTACAAACAATAGCACTACTTATGAATTGAAGACAAACCACTACATCATGCCCCTAGCACCCTGAAAACCTTTTCCCTAGATCTTTGTATAATAATGCGAAGTTTCTGGGGACTGGCTGACTGTCTTGGTGACAAAAGTCACTCAACTCCTGGTGGGTCCCCCCGTCTTTCTCTCAACCACAAAAATCAATTGCACTGCTAGTTCTTGTCCTGTCAGTTTAGCCAGTGGTTGTCTAGTTTCTTTGGTCTTAAAACAGTGTGTTCTCAAACTTTAGCACCTATAAAAATCACCTGAGGTTGGGCATACCAAAACAAAGACTGCTGGGTTCATGCCCAGTGTTTCTGCTTTTATAGACCCGGAAATTTGCATTTTTAACAAGTTTTCCGATGAGGCCAGTGCTGCTGCTGTGGAAATCAGTCTTTGAGAACCACTGCCTTTGAAAAATGTCCAGCTTCTACCTTTAAGATCAGCCTGACTTCTCAGGCACTAGAGAAAAACTGAACTTGCCCTTGGGCAGACAGTTTGGGATTGGATTGCCTGCAACATTCCTGTGCATTCTTCCCAGTGTCCAGTTTTATTATACCAACCATGGGTTTTTACATGCTAGAAGACAATGAATGTATAAGTTCTATGGAACAGTGGCGTACGTCTAAGCTTCTTGTCTTTGTATTTAGAAACATTGATTCTATGAATGACCGTTTGTATCATGTTGACCCTTTGACTTGTACTGAAGGTGACTTTAAATTTAAGTATGTAGTGTTTGCATTTCTTTCCATACAATTTTTACTGAGACCCTTCCCGTGTTGGTTCCATTTCACCCTGGCTCCTGGCTTATAGAGGTGTTTCAGTAGTTGCTCGCTTGCCAGCTGGTTCTCACCTCACACTGGTCATTGAAATATCAGCATTTCAAGACGGTATGACACCACTCCCCATTCCTTCATCTGTCATTCAACTGGTGTGTGTTAGTGTCTCAGTTTCACACATCTGTAAAGAGTCTACCCAATGGCCTCATGGAAATTTGCAAAATGAACTAACTCCCTTTTGAGTAGTAGATATGCCTGTTTTGACTTTTTGGTAAATTTGTACACATAGATGCACAGTAGAGACTGTTTATTATCTCATCTTTCAAATGATGGGAAAAATACAAAAGTGGATCAGTGTGCTTCTGGAAAATAATGAGATCATGTTAACTCAAGTATAGATGGGGCCTTAGTTTATCTTTTAACTCTTTATTCAATTAATTAGCTTTAGAAATTCTTTTTCCATTACAAAATAAGGACCCACAGTTGATTCGAGAGAAAAAGTTTCTTAAAATCATCACGTATTTATAAATTGTATTAATTACACATAATTTTTATTGATTCAATAAAGATTCTCTAAAGATTTCTGCTTAATAAATACCTTGAACTCATTTAAATTCACCTAGACTATTGTGTAAATAGAATGTAATAATTACAGGCACTAGAATTAGTGGATCAGAATATCAGCCTATTAGAGTATTAGTGGTATCAAGGCTTCAAGTCTATGCCTCTATGAATGGAAATAATTGAAGATATTTTTTCCTTCTCATATGTCCCATAATCCTTTTAAATGACAGATTTCTTTTAATAACTGATTCTAAGATTAAATTTAAAAACTCAATCTCTAGGAATAGTTTATTTTCAAAGTGTTTTACCAACTGGTGCCAAAAAGGGGAGGGTGGAACATAAAAGCCAGTCTTTTGAACTAACATGTAAGGGGCTGGGGATTTAGCTCAGCGGCAAAAGCGCCTGCCTGGCAAGCGCAAGATCGT